GGGGGGAGGGGGCACGACTATTATGAAAAGAATAAATTAAGGGCTGTAGGGCTTTATTAGTTTTTTTATATTAGAAAATGAGAAATAATTGTAAATGCCACCAACAACAAAACAGTATTTACTGCCAAATTTCAAATTTCTACCTACAATTTACTGGATTTTCATTTATCTTTAAATCTTATATTATAAGCTATTTTAATTAGCTGATATTAGCTAGAGGGGGGAGGGGCTATAGCCTCCCCTGCCTCTCCCCCTCCCCCTCCCCCTCCCCCTTTTCCCTGGTCCTTGTACGTATGTTGTATTTGCTCAATACATTTTCTTTTTATTCAGCTGATGGATCCTGTAAGAAAGAAGTTTGAGTTACCAGAATTTAAGAAACTTAAGAGAGAAGCCTACCCAAAAGCAAAGAAAGCAAGTATGTCTCCTTTGTTTAGATTATGTATTCTTTCTTTTTTTATTTTATTATTTTATTATTTTAAACATATAAATTCTTTAAGTTTACTCTCTTCAATGAAAAGAAAAAGGGAATGAAAGGGAGTAGAAAAACAGGGAGAGAAAGGAAGAGAACAAAAACAAAAGGAATAGGATTGAAATGCATAATTGAAAAGAAAGTAAAGAAGAGAAGGGAAGAGGATGGAAGGGAAGGGGAGGGAAGTGGAAGCCTAAACAAGAAGGAAAATGAAATGGACCAGCCTGAATAGAATATTAATGTGGATAAAGAATTACGATATTTTGAAATCTTTTTTGCTAAGGTAAAAGCTACTCAGAAATACATGTAGTAAGACTAATCTAGCTTAATAGTTAAGTTACATTGAAAATTAAACAAAGACAGTAAAAATATAAACATTACATATAAGTAGAAGTATATATCTGATATCTGACTAACTTTCAAATGTATGAAATTTCTTTGTACAGAAACAAAAAGTGGTGGAGGAGGAGCCAGCAATAGCGACAGGGCTGTTGATCCATCACGACTTGACTTACGCATTGGAAAAATTGTCTCAGCTAAAAAGGTAGAAGTGGGATCCTGTAAACTTCGTTGAAAACACTT